GCGATAAGAAGTGAGTTCAAGATATTTAGATAAATGCAACCCAGTAGGGAAAACTTCCAAATTGCATTTGTTTAGATAAATAACCAATACTTTTTCAGTATTTACATAATTATTTATATCACATTAAATATTTATACATACGTATATTTCACCACGTATATAAAAGTGAAAAGTGTTTGTGATTTTTTTTCTCGTACTGAAATTTTTCAAATCCATATTCCGCGGATTTAATTGGGACGCTCCGTTTTCCACGTAATAAAAAGTGCTGAACCGAAAATTAAAGCAAATATAATTTCACATAATTTGCAAGAAATAAAAACACAAACACCGCCACAAAATCTTAAAATTTTGTTCCTGATTTTCTGTAGCACAAAGTGCAATTTTTACTCGTTTGACATATATTTTTCTAATTTTTTGCGAACGTTATCTGGGTGGTACTCAGCAAAATTTGATCAATTCTTATCTCAATTTTTATACGTTTGACCATCCACGAGAGTTAAAATGCCTCTTGGACACAGTCCACCAAAAATGTCTGAAATCGAGACAAGGTCAAAAAATGCTTCGCAAGAAGCCACCGGTGGTAAGAGGGAACCCTCACCGCGCCGAAAATCCAAAACTTTTGACCCATCCGCTCAAAAGTTTATAGCGGAAAGTGACAGTATCATGAGATACTGTGCAAAATTCAGTGATGCGCCAATCCAAGACCACACTGAATCATATCTTATGATAAAAGACAAATCACTAGATGATTGTTGGGCACGGCTTCAGTCCGCCTATGATTTGGTTTTTTCAAAGCCGGATGACAGCCTACCCGAAAATTTTAAGAATTCGGTAGAAGGCAAGTACTTCACTTGCCTTGAATTATATGAGGTGACCAAAGGTAAAATTGCCAATCAACTGTCGTTGATTAGAGCAATCGCCGCACCGAGTCCACCACCTCGCATGGAACACACCTCGGCAGAGGCAAACGTTTTCCTCCAAGTCCCACCTTGTGACACGGAGACATTTTACGGCGGTTACGAAGAATGGCCCGCTTTTCGTGACATGTTCACAGTGGTGTACATCAACCACCCGAAGCTCTCCCGTGCTCAAAAATTGTATCACCTCCGATACAAAACCCAAGGTAAAGCTGGCTCCATCGTCAAGCAATATCCGCTCAGCGACGATAACTTCGAGCTGGCCTGGGAAGCTTTACGGTCACGATACGAAAACAAACGTATCCTGGTTGACAACCAAATTAAAATTTTGATGACATTGCCGACTATTCAATCCGAGAATAGCGAGCAACTTCAAAGGCTGCAAACATCAATTAACAACTGTCTGTCAGTTCTTAATTCCCAAGACGTCCAGACAGACAGTTGGGATCCCATATTGGTGTACATATGCTCATCCAAATTGCCCGAAACCACACTGTCACTTTGGGAACAATCTCTCTCTTCTCGAAGAGATTTACCCTCATGGTCACAAATGGACGATTTTCTTACTTCAAGATACGAAGTAGTCGAAAGACTTAACCGGCTTCATCCAAGCCAAAATAAACAAAAACCAGTCGCTCATCAAAATGCTGCGCAAAACAGGTCCTTTAACAGGACTCAAACCTTTGTGGCAGAACCTAAGAGGGAACCAACTTGCTCTTACTGCAATCCCCTCATCCCATTAGAGTCTGCCCACAATTTAAGCGAATTTCGGTACCAAACCGAGTACAATTCGCAAACCAAACCAAGCTGTGCAAAAACTGCCTTGGTAATACCCATAGCACTAATGAGTGTCCGAGCAAGTGGTCATGTACACATTGCCAACAACGGCATCACTTCCCTGCTGCACATGAATCCCAAACCACAATCTCGACACTCCAGTGCGCGAGCGAATGAAACCGCCGCACAACACACTACTGCCCAGTCGACACCTCCCGCTACCGAAAATGATAGCAAAATTCTCCTCCCAACTACCATGGTCGCAGTGGAACACGAGGGGGAATTGTTTCAACTAAGAGCCTTGATTGATCAAGGCTTACAAAGAACTTTCATTTCCTCGAAAGTTCAAAAACGATTGAAACTACCATTCGAACATTCCAAGTTCCTCAAAGGTTTGTCCACTCACCCAAAACCATGCAACGGATAAACACACAGGCTATCGTGTTACCTCAGCTCACGAGGCACATGCCTACATTCACCATTAGCCGTGAAAACTGGCAGCGATTCAAGATCCTTGAACTTGCTGACCCAAGCTGTCACTTACCAGCTCAAACTGATATGGTAATCGGCAGCGATATACTTCCACAAATCCTGCTGGAAGGTATACAAAATATTTGCGACACAATACTTGCGCAAAAAACAATATTTGGCTGGATTCTCAGTGGTCCAATAACCGAAAATGTGGTGTCATTCTCGACACAAGTAGAAGAGTGCTCGAATGCAACTCTCAGCTCTCAGCTTCGAAAGTTTTGGGAAGAGGAGGAGATTCCACAACCTCCACAAATTTCCCCTGAAGATCAGGCTTGTGAGCATATATATGCAACAACAACGACTCGTGCCCCAAACGGTCGATACATTGTGCGACTTCCATTCAAGGAAGAATTTCCAAAAAAGCTGTCTCTGGGCCACTCTCGGTCTGCTGCACTTCAGCAGTTTTTCAGTATGGAGCGATCGCTTCAGAAAAAAGGAGACTTAGCCACAATGTATAACAATGTGTTGCAAGAGTATCTCGACCTCGGTCATATGGAGCACACGAAGCCATGCGAGATAATTTCCAATGGCAAATACTTCTCTTTCTACTTGCCACATCATGCGGTCGTCAAACCAGATAAGGTAACCACCAAAGTTCGCGTGGTATTCAACGCCTCAAAAACATCTGGTTCAGGAAAATCCCTGAATGACGTGTTGCACACTGGTCCCACACTCCAGCCAGATCTCATGCTGCTCATTCTGCAGTGGCGAATGCACAGATTCGTGTTCAATGGCGACATTGAAAAAATGTATCGTCAAATACTCATCCATGAGGACGATAAAGATTTTCAGCGAATCTTATTTCGCACATCGGCTGACTCTCCTGTCACCGATTATAATCTTAAAACCGTAACGTTCGGGGTTAATTGTGCACCATACCTCGCTATCCGTACCCTGCATCAATTAGCAGATGATACGATAGCGACATTTCCCTTGGCTGCCACAATACTTAAAACCGAAACGTATGTGGATGACATCCTATCCGGAAGTCATGATATTGACAACGCCACTGAATCACTTTTTCAAGTGATCAAAGCGCTTAAGTCAGCTGGTTTCATACTCAAGAAACTAACGGCCAATCATCCGGCCATTTTAGAAAAATTTCCAAAGGAGGATCTTCTCGACTCCAACTTTTTGAAATTTGAGAGCGCTTCCACAACCAAAACTCTTGGTATACAATGGAACGCACTCACAGATAAATTTTCATACACCATTCTGCCTGCATCGACATCGAATGCCGTCACAAAGCGACAAATTTTATCTTCTGTCGCAAAACTTTTTGACCCGGCAGGATGGCTATCGCCAGTGATGATTCAAGCAAAGATTCTTCTTCAAGAACTTTGGCTAGATGGCGTTGATTGGGACGAATGTGCCAAACCTATATCCTTGGCAAAATGGCAACAGTTCGCAGAAAATCTGCCAGCCATCTGCCACATCGAAATCCCTCGATGGGTTAATTTCACTCCGGGGCAAGATACCCAAATCCACGGGTTTTGTGATGCCTCGGAAAAAGCATATTGCGCTGCGATTTACATCCGGGCAGATGCTAGCAACCAAAGATATTCCACTCTCTTGGTTGCAAAAAGCAAAGTCGCACCATTGAAGACGGTAAGCTTGCCACGCCTGGAGCTGTGTGGTGCAGTCTTACTCGCAAAACTGGTCGCAACTGTTGGAAAACAGCTCAAATTGGAATCGTGCAACACATTCTTATGGTCAGATTCAGAGATTGTGCTAGCTTGGCTTGAAAAGCCACCATGTACATGGAAGACGTATGTATCCAATCGTACCTCTCAAATCCGGGAATATCTTCCAACCGGTGCATGGCGCCATGTTTCCAGCCAAGATAATCCAGCCGACCTCGGCACCCGTGGGTGCAAACCGCAGGATTTGGCGAATTCCCCACTCTGGTGGCACGGACCAACATGGCTCTCTTGCCACATGGATGCATGGCCAAGGTCAAAGGCATGCAGTGCATCTCCACCAGAAAAGCGCAAGGTGGAGGTATATCACGCGCTCGAAGAAGAGGTCGATTTTCTTGATCGCTTTTCTTCTTTCTCTCGAGCACTCCGCGTGACTGCGTACATGTTCCGCTTCGTGAGCAATGCCCGCAACAAATCAAAGGGGTTAGCTACAATCACCTATCCACATCTGACACATAACGAATTTCAATATGCAAAAATTCATCTTATCAACGCAGCGCAATCACGCCATTTTCCGAGCGAAAAAAGCGCTTTGCAAGATAAAAAGCCACTTAACAAAAAAAGTCCTCTTATTGTTCTCAATCCTTCGTTGGACAAAGACGGACTTTTACGGGTTAATGGCCGATTAGCACATTCCACATTAAGCTATAATGAAAGGCACCCAATAATTCTCCCTACCGAATCGAGGTTCTGCCAGCTATATTTGGAGTTTTTACACTCGCTGCTTCTTCACGCAGAAACACGATTAATGCTCCAAATGGTAAGGCAAGAGTACTACGTACCAAAGCTGAAACCTCTAATTAAAAAATGCATCTTTCAATGCAAAGTGTGCACGCTTTACAAGCAACAAACACGCACCCAAATAATGGCCGCTCTACCCCCTGAGCGCTGCAGTTTCTCACTCCCATTTTCCACAACGGGAGTAGATTTTGCTGGGCCATTCCAAATTAAAGCATCGGTGCTAAGATCTACAACCCTTATCAAGGGATACGTTGCAGTTTTTGTCTGTTTTTCCACAAAGGCAGTGCATCTCGAGCTATGCTCGGATCTTACAACCGAGGCTTTTCGAGCAGCATTCGCCCGCTTCGTTGGCAGACGAGGTTTTCCCTCAAAAATGATGAGCGACAATGGAAAAACGTTCATTGGCGCCCAGCGCGCAACAGAACGCGACTTCGTTAAATTCCTTAACGAATGTTCCGCAGACATTGTCAAAAAATATGCCCCTCAAGGCATCAACTGGCAATATATACCACCCAGCGCCCCCCACATGGGCGGCTTGTGGGAATCTGCAGTGAAAAGCTTTAAAATCCATTTAAAGAAAACCGCTGCAACCCACAAGTTCACTTTCGAAGAATTCACGACGCTTCTGGTGCGAATTGAAGCAGTCCTCAACTCGAGGCCTCTATCCGCACTTTCTCAAGACCCAGCTGATATGACAGCACTTACTCCGGGTCACTTCCTTCGAGGTGCACCGCTATTGGCCATTCCCGAGCCTAATGCGGAAGACCTCTCTCTACTAAACCGGTGGGAGAAAGTCAAAGCACTTCACCACCAATTTAGTCGCCGCTGGAAAGAAGATTACCTCAAAGATCTTCAGAAGAGGTACAAGTGGAAAACTCCACAACGCGACCCTCAGCCAGGCGACATCGTCGTGATCAAAGAAGATTCACTCCCCCCCACCGAGTGGCGATTGGGACGAATCGAAAACGTTCGCCATGGCCCTGATAACCACATACGTGTCGTGGAAGTCCGTACACAAAATGGAGTTATCACGCGGCCACTTGTCAAACTGTGCTTCCTTCCAAAAGCACAATAGATAATTCTATACATATTTTCCTTTTGTATATTAAGGGTCTTAACTTCCCGTTTAAACATTGTACCCAAGTACTTCTCGTTTCTCTGCCTTTGCTTCTACTTCCAGATCGAAGACATCATGGCAGCACGGAAGGCATGCCCCCCGGCTCCAACGGCAGAGGCAGACAACAGCCTACAATGCCGGCTCTGCCACCGGTACCACGCATTGCGGACGTGCCCGGCCTTCAAGGCGATGAGGCCGCCGCAACGGTTGGGAGTAGCCCGCGCGCAAGGCTACTGCGTCAACTGCCTTGCGCTCACCCACACTACCGGGAAATGCGACTCGCCGGGTAGTTGCAAGACCTGTGGGCTAGCGCACCACACGCTGCTGTATGTAGCAGCCAACACCCATGCTCGCACGGGGCCAAGGGAACAGGGGCCCAGGAAGAGGAAACCGGCTACAAAGGCCCCAGGAGCGTCAAGCGGCGCGCACCGCCGAAGAAAAAGGCGCTGAAGAAGGCGCAGAAGAACCCGCGCAACCATGCGCCGCAACCGCCGCGCAAGAAGACCGCCCAACGGACGATCGCGCGCACTCCCCAAGGCCTACAAACGGCCAATTTCCAGGGCCGCACCACCCACCGCGTCCTTGGCAACACGATCCGCGCCCTGAAAGAGCTGCAGGAGACGCTCAGCAACGCATTCCTGCAGGGCGGGGACGATGTTTAAGCCGCCGCTTAAACTTAATTCAGCGGCCGTGCGCGGATCCTGTGGCCGCAGCAGTGTGAACTCCGAAAGATGACTAACGAGCGCGCACGGCCGCTTCCCATCGTCGTGCCAAATGAGCGACAAGTTAGTTCAGCAACTACCAGCGATAAACGCGCACGCGCCCCGTGGATTAGTAATTTGCGAAGTTGAAATCCTTCTTGACCAAGTAAACGCTTATATATATATATCTTGAACGATTTTATATAGCTCATGAATAAACGGAGTTGAATTTTATAACTTTTTAAAACCGAAAACAAGTGTTTACTTTAAGCGGAAAGCCAGTGGGCATACAAAAAAAACGGTGAGTGCGAAAGGCGACCATTGGAAATATTCACATATCTATTTTTATTATTTTTTTTTGTGATTATTTTTAAATTTATTTTATTTATTTATTTATATTTTTTTTATTATTTGCATATATTATCCGACTGGGATATGTATATATTTTTTTTTTTATTACTTTTATACTTAGACATATTTCTAACTGTGATATTTTACATTTAAAGATTTATTGACCTAGGTTGCAAACTGAAGCATTACGTATGTATGTAAATGTGGTAGACCTGTGATATTTTCGTTATGCATGTACGCACCCAGTGACCAGTGTGTTCGAATCCAAGTGATAAGAAGCGTGATAAAGGCCCGGCTATAGGTCGTGGGTCGAGGCCACACGTTGGGCGGGAACAGGACCGGCGGGTGCGAGCCTGTAGCGCCAGCTGCTTGCCAGCTACGTTGGTGTGCGTTTATTTGTAAGCGTTCGAACTCGATCGAACATACAAAACTAGAAGGCAATCGAACCTCTGTTAACCACAATGATGTCCCAAAGAAAGTAGCGTGTTGGAGTGAGAAAGCCCGCTAGACTGATGGTTCGGTTAAGCAGTCATGAGTGTGTGTGTGTGTGTGAATGCTCGGCTTAAACAGCATTTCTTTTATTTACTTATGTGTACATAAGTAAGTACTTGATACGGGATGGTCACGGTAGGGAAAGATATAAAAGGACCATACTGAAGAAAAACGGGTTCAAAAGTTGCGGTTCTGAAATTCGACGAAGTGCGGTCTTAGTGCGGGAAGATAATCGCAGTTTTATAATCGTGCAAAAAAAAAGGTGCAAACAAATAAAATATATATACATATATATGAGGATATTGTGCCGTTTGAGTGCGCGTGTGTAAGGAACCGTCGCATTTACGGATAACCGAGGAGCTTTTGGGGGTCACTAAATACTAATAAGGAATTTGACGTAAGTCCCCAGGCAGTAAGAGCATATTTATATTTATACCTTGCGGCATGTATGTAAGTGCATATGCACATATATTGACCTATAATATGTACATATCGCACGTTTGATGATGTAACGAGGTATTTGAGGATTTAGATTTTGTGGGAGAACGCAGGCAAAGTGTTATCAACTCATACAGTTGATATAGAAAAAAAACATATGGAAAGAAACATATCTTCGGCATATTTGGGAAGTTTGGTTATGTCTTAGACTGAATATATTCTACTTATCAAGCTTATTAATTGCATAACGAAATCTCCAAAAACGTAAATTTTGAGTTAAATCTCTATATCATTAGGCGGGCGATATGTATATTAGTAAACCGGAAGGTATAAAAAAAGTGAATGATATACATACATACATACATATAAAATATTACTCTGAATTTTACTATCAAAAAAATATTTTTATTCGCCTGCTGAAATACCCAGCAAAAGGAGCTCCACTTTTGAGTGCCGCTTGGACAAATACTCGCTCGCCACGTAGTCGGAGCATGAAACCTTGATGATCGGAAGCAACGGAGTCGCACACGTACACACGCACCAGCCATCATCGATACAACTACCGTGGTTAATCACAGCCGCAGCCAACACACACACCTATATATTTGCCAACAAGGGTACATAAAATCGCACACGCATCCGGGCAGATAAGTATCCACATCCATCCTGGTGACACCGGCCGACAGATATTTGGCAACAACACCGCCGTCACCGACAGCTGTTCCAACTGGTCCAGCCAAAACAGGTCAACGGCCATAATACAGACCTGTGGACTCTGCACAGCCCCATTCAGAAGAGCATAGTCGTCAACGAAAGGGTAACAGCGAGGGAGAGAACAGCATCCACTTCAGCGCGGTCAACGGGAGCAGCATCAGTGAGAGCAGTGGAGACTAGCGCTCCGCCTACGCCGACAATCAGAACTAGCGAGAGCCGTGGAGACTTGTGCTCCAACCACACCGCGGATCAACAGTAGTGGCATCAGAGGAGCATTCCCTAAGTCTTGTTACTCCGATACATACATACATATTTAGTTGTTGTTATGACCTAGACTTTACTTATATACTTACATACATATATAGGATTTAGACTGGTTGGATTTTTTTTTACCTTGCTCGGCTATTCCGCGTTAAGTTTTTTAGTTGTATACCGTTTAGTTGTATTGCTTATTTTACTATTATAATAATAATAATAGATTGGCGCTTACACATATGTTAAGTGTTTGGCCGAGCTTCTCCTCCGACTTGTGGCGTGCGGCTTGATGTTGTCACACAAAGCGGAGGAACCTACAGTTTTACGCCGACTCCGAACGGCGATTGTATTTTTATGAGAAGCTGTTTTTCATGGCAGAAATACACTCGGAGGTTTGCCATTGCCTGCCGAAGGCCTTGCTAATTTTGCTAGTAATTGCTTTTCTCGCGAACAATGTAATTTTTTTATCGCTGTAATTATTAGCCTGGAATTTCTCGTTGAAATTCGGTGGTTTGTTCACATTAAGTAGCTATAGATTTTTTTTGGCATTTAAACATCACTAGGCTCCTATATTGAATTCCATAGCCTTTTGATTTTCTGCTCTTTTAAATTTTTTGTTCACTTTTTTCCTTATTTGCCTCACTTAAGTTTTTATTTAGTATTATTTGCAATGGGTTCCTTTTACACCCGAATATTAGATTATGTTCACAACTTAGTTCACTTTTATTGCCATTTAGATTTTTTTATAGGCCTTGTTGTAATAGTAGATTCGCATGTTGTGTTTCTTTGTCGCGCGTACATTATGACCCGCTCGCTGCCCCGCAACACGTGCGAGTGATATCATTATCGGCAGGGAAATAGGTTGACACCTCAGTTCATAAGCTGTAGGCATACATATGTATGTACGTAAGACTATTGGTACATATATGTAAATATATAGATTCTCCCCAAACAGGTTCTTAACAGGGTGTTGGTACCACCATCGCTGGAGACCAAAAGTGAGTACAGAAATTTGTTTATCTGTGTGATTTGTTATTATGTGTGATTACCTACATACCAATCATACTTATATACTTGCATATCTAGTTGAAGATTTCATTAATCCCGCGGTAATATTTTTTTTCGTCTTTTGATTTACGTTTGGGGTATTGGAATTATTCGGAGAGTTTTTTGTTTTGGAGAATATTATAACCAACGAGCTACAATAACAATTATTGAACTGACCCTAGGACAGACCCAAACAAATACAAAGAGGTCGTTAGTAAGTTAAGCGGGAGTAGTTTGCATTAATAACTCGATATAATTGTGGGATTTGTATCTATTAGTATATTAGGGTGGTAGGTTTCCTTTTTCCTGTTGATAAATTTCCGTATTACATACATGAATTTCGACACTTAGTAGGGCTAGAGTTAAGAGCATTTTAATATTGTGCCTTAGGCTAAGAAAATAAAAATGAATTGAGAAAATAGAATTCTGAATAGCTTTCGGGGATTAAGATGGTGTGTTAGGCACAAGTATTTGGTATTTGTACATATAAGGCAATGGACTAGACGAGGACTGATTGTTATATAGACGGACTAATGTCAGGTTTAGGGGGCGTCGTAAAGTAGATGAGGAGTCACGACGACGCCCAAGGCTTCACGTGGAGTCGGCGTTGAAGAAGGGCTGGATGACTCCACCTGACAGGACGGGACTGGACCTTTTTTCTTCATTTCTATTTTCCTCTGTTTTTCTAAAGTTATTTATCTTTCTTGCTGTTGTCTCCCGTAGTACAATATCAGACATGAATAACTCTTTTGATTATGTAGCTAACAGCACGGCAGGCGGAAATGACCCACCCCGACGACGAGCTAGCTTGGGATGCAAGCATGCCTAGCTCGACCATGCTGCTACCTAACACGTCCTCTGATGTCGATCTCGAAATATTTGGAATGGTGATTAAGAATATTGAACGGACCTTTATGAGGCGCAAGGTCGAACTCTGTCGTCTCTGTATGCCCAACATGGTTTAATCATCATATTAAAAAGCAAGATCTTGTTATCTAGGTTTAATTTAGATTTGTGTCTTATAACTCATTGAAGGCTTGCTTGTTTTAGTTTCGCTTGAGAAATTTTGTTTTCTATATGCTTGTTCCAGGTAAGTCTTCTATCTAGTGTCATCCCTCAGGTACTTGACACTATCTTTTTGTGGTATAGCCTTGCTGTTTATTTTTTGTGGTGGGCAAGTTTCTCTTCGAAGTAAATGTTGCCTGAACACACTTGCTTTCGTTAACCTTTATCTTCCTGGAACCTAGTCATAGCACTGACTTTTTCAAATATTTTTGTAGCTTGCAAGAAGCCTCTTTATGGTCTGAACTATTGCTTAGGATAGCTGTGTCACCAGCAAACGTTGAAATGGTTAGAGTTTCATCAGTTGGCGATTCACGAGTATATATTACGTACAATATGGGTCCTAGAACACTGCCTTGAGGGGAAATTGGGGAAATTATGTACTTAATTTTAAATTTTTAGTTTTTTTGTTATATTTTCGAATTTGTATTATTTTACACAGTTGAAAGTCACAGCAAGTTTGAATATTTTCACAGGTTCAGAAAACAACGAAAATTCCAAAATTTTCAATTTTATAATATTAAATTTCTTGAGATTTCTTATTTTTAGGATAATTTCCAAAATTTCAAAAACTATCGAAATCCGGGAGATTCTAGAAATTT